GTCTGGCACAGGGTATTGGCCTCCACATGTCTCTAAAAATGGGAATCAGTTCACAGGGTTTTGTTTGTTTGTGTTTTGTAGATGAAATAATCAGAATTTTCATTCGCAGGCACTGATTTTATCTTAGCTCTCAACTGAAAATGCATATGTGATAAATTGTTTTAGATTTGAAGAAAAGGGGACAAGAGAGCAGTTCTCGTTAAAGCAAAAAAACAACCAAACAAACAAAAAGGAAATGCTAATATTTAAAGCAAAGGCTACTTTTTTAAGTTTAGCATTTATTATTAGTATTTATTGGGGTAGGCTCTTTAATAGTAAAATATTAACTAGTCACAGAAGGATAAAATAAAACACTTGCTACACTCTGCTGGGCCTTCCTGTTATCTGTTTGATTTTGTGCTTTCTTTTGTTCTCTCAACCTGAAAGGCAATATACATGCTGTAAATCTTTCTAATTTACTAAATTCTAACAAAATTCCATAGATGTTTTTTTTCTTTTTGAACCTGATAAACCCTTTTTACAAGAACAAATTACAGCTTTTTTTTAGATTTGGGTGGGCTGTGCAAAAGATTTCTATCAATATTAGAATCTGTAGTAGGATCAAACCTTTGTCTAATTAAAAGACATCAACTAGCGACTTCTACTGTCATTTTTGGGGGAGTGGTGGCCTAGTGGTTAGAGCAGAGAGGTTAGGTCCTGAGGTTGTGAGTTCAACACCCACTCCAGCAGACTTCCACTCTGGGTACCTGAGCAAAGGGAAAGCACGGGGCAGCGGCTACTATCACCGGGTCTGGTTTGGTCGCTCCGTCCCACACTGGCTCCCTCTCCCCATCTGCCGGAGTTCCTGGACCAGCCCCGGAACTGGCGGGTCGGTTCTGAAGTCGAACAAAATCCCGGATGGTTTTGTAATTCCCCCTGGACATTTTTTTATTTATGAAAAGTAGGATATGTCCTGGAAAAAGCCGACATCTAGTCACTCTCTAGCATATCAACAATTTCATGTTTCAGTGAGTGCTTGTTGCCATGGTGCGTCTTTGCTCAGCAGCTTTGCATGTTGTGAATGAACCAATCAGCGCACAGCTCATCTAAATATTCATGATCATACCATAAAACGAAGAAAACCATTCTGGGGCTCTTAACCAGGCTTGCATTAGGGCTCATAGAACAGCAAATATGTCCTTTTCAGCCCAACCAATGTTGCACACCCTATTCAGAGACCTTAAGGACCAGCAACAAATACCCTATAGAATCTTTATATGACCCCTTTAAATGCAGAGAGTTAAATTCATTAAGCTGTATTTGTGACAGTGTAATGGCAATAAAACAATGGGAAAAAAGTCAAATAAAATTTCAACTTATCACCATGACTTGCAACTATTTATGCAAATCAGCTTGTTCTCCTTATTGTGCAGCATTTCTTAAAGGTATTGTGGAGGATTTTCGGGAATTTTTAAAAGACCCGCAGTCTCCTTTAAAAAAAAAAAATGCACATGCACCACATTCCAGAGAGGGAACGCCTATTGGAAAATAGTTTGCAAAACTTTACCTGCCGAGTAGAAACTTTGCAACAGATGCATCAGTGGGAAGCTTGACCAGTGCTTACAGTGTACTCCGTGAGAAAGAACCTCTCAAAAACACTCTGGTCTTGTTTCTCTTATGACCCCCTGCCATTTTCAAAGAACCGTCGTTCAGAAAGGTGAGCTTCAAGAACTGGCTGAAACCGTAGCTCACCACACATATACACCTGAACGTGAGCATTCGCACAATAAGATAGCTCCTAGTCAAACGCCAGCCGAATGGCAGCCAATTTCCAGCCACTGGTGTGAACCCCTCCTTCTCCTGGGCATGCATATTTTTTTTACACTGACTCCACCCTTTCACTGAATTACAGAGTCTGACCAAGAGACGATACTTCTCTTTAGATCCTAATGTCCACAAGTCATGACAAAATATTTTAGTACAAAGATTGATGTTTAAAAGGGGACCAGCCAAGGGCCTATCAAGGAAAGTGTTACATTTTTGAATGGCTACTACTGTAGGAGGGTCTTACGTAAACATATCACCAGAATGATCAACAATAAGGAGAACAAATTATTTTGATGATCCAGCCGGAAAAAGAAAATCCTCCACTATATCTTTAAGATCTTCATATCAGGCTAAAAGGATAAATAAAAATACTTTTACCACTTTTTCTTATTCTTAAGGTTGTGTAATTGCGTACTCTCTTCAGCCAGTGAAGGAAAGTGCTAAATAATGTTAAACTGTCCGACACAAGTTGGATGAACCCAGATTCAGTGTTTTCAAACCCCTCGAATGTCATTCAAGAGTTATGGTGGGGATTTTTTTTTCACCCGTGTCCATCTTCCACCCTGCTAAGATTTGGGCATCTTGGATCTTTTCCTTTGAGAGAACATAAGAGACATGAAAGGCGCAATACAACATGTGATGTCTCACTGCAAATACTTCACACTGTTGTTTATTCTCCTGTCCTTCAGCTGTGCCTTTATTTGCTTCTGTCCTACCTTTATCTACTTCCTGTCTCTGCCGTCAGTGTATCATTTGTTCTCTAGATCTGCAAATTCCCCATTGTTTATCTTGAAGTCTTCTAATTAAGTTTGGTCGCGCAGTTGAAATAAAAAGTGTCAGAAAACACTAACAAAATCTCATGTAGTTTGGTCTGTGAGTCCCAGGAAGCTGTCATGCAAAAGTGATGCAATGTGGAGTCATGAAAAAAAAAATTGTTGCTTATTAAACTCTCTCATCAGATGGACATTAAAACAAACAAATTTTTTGTTTCTTTGCAAATATGCTCAGCTTTTTGATAGGGTTCTCCTAATGAAATGAGGTAAAGCTTAGAAAACTTGGATTCTTCTTCTTGGTTTCCCTCTTCCTTTGTTGCGTTGACTCATTGTTCCTCTCACGGTTGCTGTCAGCACAGGAGACACGATCTGTTGGGAATGACCTGGCCTCTCCAATTACCCAGAAAACCCCAGATCAGAAAAATGATCTTCATTATTGATGTCTGACTCACAAGGGCCACTGTAGCAGGAGACAGGAGAGAAGGGCAGACAGTGACAGAAGAGGGAAAAGGGTGAGGAGAGAATAAGCAGTAACATGAAAAGAGAAAATTGGATAGGTTTAGGCAAGATGGATAGACAGAGAGCAGTATCTGTGCAGCACAGGGATACTGAGAGAGGTACAGTAGCAGAGGGATAGTGTAGGCGAGTGGGAGGTGTGAATGCGTGTTGTGAAAAACTTGAAGGAACAGTGTCCAGAACAGATGGATGTACAGCGATGAAAAAGCAGACCCATATACTTGCAGCTTTAATTCTGATTCTAGAATTCCTTTATTGCTAAAAAAAAAAATACATGTGATTCACTTGACCAAAGAATGGTGTTGTCCATAGAAATAGACATTTTGATAAAAATTAAGACAGTAAACAATTGCAGACTTATTATTTTGGAACGTCACTCGGTTTAACATCCATAATAAGTAGTTTTACCTCACAGAAATAAGGTTTGTGATTTAAACCCTTTACCTTTCAACGCTATTGCTTGTTGTTGTCTTGCAATTTTATTGTCCAGGAATATATGTTGACTTTATTAAATCATTGCCTTCCCTCTCTTCACTTTATTGAATATTATCAAACTTGCTTCTGCAGGTTTTTTTGGGACAGCTAACCACATAAGTGTCTCATCTCAAACAAAACTTTTGATACAAGATATTTGCATATACTGTTTAAAATTAAATAAAAATGGAAATATATTCTCCCACAGCTAAGTGGTAGTTTTGATTACCAGTGATATTTATATTTACTAAGATGGAATAAAGACTGAATTATATTGTTTTATAACTTTATTTAAACTCCATAGGATTGAATACTTAGGAAATCCCAGATGATGATGTAATGGATTCTTATTTGGTTTATTGAAAAAATGTGGGTGACACACATTCCAGCAGACCCATTTTAAAACATTACCTTGAATGGATTGCTTGAGACCATATAAAATGAAATCAGGCAAGATGTTACAAAGACAAATGTGGAGGGAAAAAAAAGACTTGTTCAAACGTGTGTGCACTACCCCAGGTTTCACTTAAACAGGTTGCTAATTGCTTTAGATATCCTGACTTGTGGAATATTTTCCTGCTCAATGATTAGCTGAGTTTAGCGTACTTTGAGATTTCTCCTATAATTCTTTCATCAGAATCATAAACTGCTACAGTCTTTTTATTGAAGGCTGGAGATTGCTCAAAGTGTTGTGCTTTACTTTCAGGAGTCTGGGGCAAAACAAACTAAATGTTATAATATAAACACGGCAAAGTATGAGTAAAAGTCAATTATGAAAAATGTCCAATCAGGTTTATCTTATCTACACCTAAGTGCAATATTAGGCAGACATACTGCAATGACACTACATTCTTCAGATCTGCATTGTAAATATGGAGTTGATTCAAGACATGAGAATTACTTTTAATTGATATAACTACATCTCTATATAGGTCTATTTGGATCATGACCCTGAATTTAAGCTATTTAATTGAGCTTCCTCCATTGGGGGGTTGTTTATAGTTCCCTTCTACTTCTGAATTGGAGTTCCCCTAGGGAAGCAGATGCTTTATGATTTATTCATAATGTCAGCCTTAAAATGTTAGTCTTTGTCAGCAGAATAGGAGCAGTGTGTTTACCATTATGTGTGTACTGCATATAGATTTCTTTCTGACCAAATATATTGTGATCAAACTTTTTGAAAGACCATGGGGTCACCATTTTCCACCAGCCTTGTGTTTAAATGAATCCCTGCTCCAATAAGTCTGCATCACAGAAAATAATAGCAATTTCCATTCTTTGCCTTACCTATAATAAAGTGCTTACTGGTTGACTCGTCAGATATCATTAATTTATCTAAAAAGGGGCTTGTCACAAAGTAAATGTTATATAATGTCACTGTGCACCATTCTCAAAGGAGGTATTTGACATTGTCTTTGTCTCTTCACACAGGCATGCGCATCCTGGTGACCCTACTGCTGGACACACTGCCCATGCTGGGTAATGTGCTTTTACTTTGCTTCTTTGTCTTCTTCATCTTTGGTATCGTTGGTGTCCAGCTGTGGAAAGGCCTACTCAGAAACCGCTGTTTCATTGAAGAAAACTTCTCCTTGTGAGTTTTACTTTGTATATTTGTTTTGTAAAGAGTAGTGTATCATATACTGCAGTGGGAACTTTTGGCAGTGGGACCTATATGAACTCAGGATTCTGCCAAAAGTCAGCACACCGAATAAATACTCCTACAAGCAGGTTTACTTTATACATACACTAATAAAGTAGTCCTCATGTGCATGTTTAGTATGTTGCATGTGCAAAAGGTCTACCATGGAGCTCAAATGTATCACAAGTGTCTATTCCTTCTTTGGGCACGTGTGGTTTGATATCCGTTTTGTAGATGTCCTATAACCCTTTTTAATGGACACCCTATGTCAGAATCCACTATTTATCCAGACCATGTTATATCTAATGATGCCTTTGCTTACCAACTTCTAACCCCTTTTGTACGTTCACACCTAAAGCGGCAGAGGCAGCGAAAGCAGCTAGTTTACATGCAAAGTCAATGGTTGATGGACATCAAGGTGCAGCAAAAGGTCATGCAGCGCATCTGAGCAGCTGCAGCAGCATGTCGTGAGCTTCTGAGCATCTGATCAGAAGCAGCAGATGCTGGGGTTGGAAAAACTGAACTTTTGCTGCTCAATGTGCCACATCAAGCAATCAGAGAAGCTGATCTGGGAGCTGGGAGGGAGACAGACACATCGCTGATGATGCAGAGTGCTATGATCACTCCTCTGAAACTGTTTATTAAGACCTAAATGAACTTAAAATGCCAAAATCTGCTGGTAAAACATGTTAGCTTTTATTATCCTGGTGCCTGCAATTTGGATTACGTACACGAAAAACACCTTTCAGCCATAGGTGTATGGGGGTCTGAGTGGCTCCGACAGCTAAATAATATTTGAAGGCAGGATGGTAATCTTGATGAACTGACTTCAAAGATGAAATTTTCAGGTGGACATTCTCACTTAAAAACATTTCAATCTGGAAAAACTCACACGAAAAGACCATTAGGAGAAATTGATTGATACAAACACTTTTTCTTTGGTCCTCAGACCTGAAACTGGTGGTGGAGTGGAGGTAGATGAAGTTGGTCAGTCTGTAAACGGCTGGTTAGTGTGACAGTATGCTGAGCTTTATCGGGAGATCCAGTGAATTGCATGAGCTGATACTAGAGCTTTATTAAGGGACCTGGAAGATGGAAGTCCAGTTGGATAACACAGGTTGAGAGAACCTGTACATGATGAGCAAGCAGGAAGCTAGTGGAGAGGAAAAACTCCCTGTTGGGAAGAAACCTCTGGCAGAACCAGGCTCAACATGGCAGTCTTCTGCCAGACCAGTTAAGATGAGACAGGGAATGCAGTAAGAGTCCGGGAGGAATGAGACTCTGATGAAGTTTTAGCTACGATGGTGGAGGAGGGGCTGGAGGTTGGTTGAAACGGTATCATCTGAATAAAGTCACACAGCGCATCCGCCACCTGCGCACAGGAGCAGACAAGTGCGTATCGGAGGCCTTTTAAGATGAACTTTGGATGCTGATTGGCTTTCGTGGAGGTGTGGTTCAAAGCTGATTGGCTGTGTTGCAGGTGGATGTAGGAAAGTAATGAGTTTCTTCAGTTGAACTTTCGTCTAGGCTCCATTAAAACTACTTTTTACCCCCTGATCACAGCAAATATAGCTGCCATTGTTACAGGCAAAGTATGCATAGAATAGCTCCGCCCAACATGCATCAGACCCACATTTTTAGTGTGCAGCTAGAGCAGCAAAGATGCTTAGCTGTGCATCAGAACTAAACTTGTACAAGCATAAAAAATTAAGCAGTACGTTCGTTTTTGCTGCCTCTGCTGCTTTAGGTGTGAACGTAGCATGACAGAGATGCTGTCCTGCTACATCAGAAATGCCTGATGGCTGAAGTTGCAATGCTAGTAGGTAGGAGAGTACAGCCTCAAGTGGTCGGATTTCCCGAAAAGTAGCCAATCACAGGCGGGTTGCTTTGTCAAATGTGACACTTTCAAGGTCACAAAAGATGACACAAGAGCACAGAAAAAGGGTCTACAAATGAGTAGGTAGGAGGCTGCGTGCGGGAGGAACAAGAACTCCTGTGGGACATTCTGGGGCCCTGTGGTACTCTATTTGCGCATCCAACATGTTAAACATGTGCATGAGGAAGAGGCAATGAGCATCTGTATGAAGTAAAGCTGCTCGTAGGAATATTTATTGCGTGTGTGGACTTTTGGCTGATCCTGACACCATAAAAAGACTTATAATATTTTCCATTCAATTGGAAAAATGGATAAAAAGACTTCCACTGACTAATAATCTTTGCTGCAGCTATGCATTGCTAGTGCTTTACATGAGTGTGTTCCCCTTCTTTATTTTCAGACATAATTTTTTGTCACGGCAACTTAACATGTTGAATCTCAGTGGTGAAAGATAAAGTTGTATAACATTCCAAACAAATGCCTATTTTTATTCAAGAATAACAAATGTAAAGCTAGTTTTCAGTTAAACAGTGAAGCATTGATTGCAAATCTTATCGGAAATTATTTATTTGAGCCACTATGCATTTAACACCTTAACCATCAACAATAAGAAGAGGAAACTTTATGCATATAGCAGCAAAATCACTGAGTGCTTTAAGAAACACTCCAAGCTACATGGAGTGACACAGCAAAATTGAAAATAAAATGTAATCAAAAATAAAACAAACCAATCAAAGCCCAGCTAACCAAAGGCTTGAGTAAAGAGAAAAGTTTGAAACTTGGGCCAAAAATCCAAACCCAGGAGGTTCAGGCATTCAGGAACCACATCAACTCAGTGAGAATAAACATCAAGTTAACAAAATAAGCCACTAAATATAAAATGGTACTCTTTTTTGACCATACTTTGCATATTTATGACAATGGAACTTAATACTGAGGTTTACCGGAAATCAACACATGCAGACCAACATCTCTATTAGTCACACTCATATACAAGCCCATTGGAAAATCACCCATTGGAATACAAGCTTTTGTTATGAGAACTCTGAGTTACTGGGCTGACAGCATCCCCCTCAGCCGCAAAGGAGAAATCCATCCAAGCTAAATAAATTTGGAGGAAGAACACACTCCGTCTAACACAGAAGAGAAAAGCAGAGGAATGCAAAACCATTGTAATTTAGGAGAATTTCAAATCAAACACTAAGGCAAAAAAGTGGTTCATCTTAAAAACAGAACATCCAAAACAAAGCTGAACGGTTTTGTTTATGCAGTTCACTTGAGCTCGGATTGTTTGGACTCCTACATTAGAGAAACTGGGCAACTAACAATGAAAAGAGTGAGCAGCTCTGAGCGAGATTCACCTGCACACTTGCACCTAAAGGACACACCTTTGACAACCAAAATGTTTGAGAGAGAGAGGACAGGTGGTTTGAGAGGTGTGAAGGAAGCATCTTTGTTAAAAAGGAAATTAAATCACTGAAATGGGTGGGAAGTTGATTAGGCTTTCAACTTCCAAGAATAGACGATTATATATTGGAACCTAATCCAAAGAAAGTACACTAGCATTCCCCTCATGATTCAAATGGATAAACACATAGCGGATACAACACATCAAACCACAAATGTCCAGGAGGACAGCAGTTACGTCAGTTGTATCTAACCTGGAATGTGCAGGCCTCCTCAGCGCTTCATCAGCATCCCAAATACTTGTTGCTGAAATGCAAGCTGATAGAATTGGAAAAGACCCCTTGAAACGTTTTCAGAAAAACTTTGAGGAAGTCAGGACTGTGGCAGGCCATTTTGACATTTATAAGCTAGAATGATTATGTATTTAAATATTTCAAATGCATTTTTCCTAGCCAACATGAACATTTCAGTCATGTAAAATAACCTATCTGAAGTGAGCATTTCAGATATCCTAAACGTCATTTTTGCTAGTACAAATGACGCCACGTTTCTCATCCATGTGTATTGGGCTTTTATTTCCAGATATCTGAAATAACATTCTTTCTATCAAAATAAACCATCTGCATATCTAAAACAGTCCTGTTGACGATGAACTCTAATTTTAGATCTTTATAATTCAGTTCATACCAATCATGATGACTATTTCAGATATCAAAAAAGAATAAAACGTTCTAGATATCCAAATATCCAAATCTGGCATACAAAAAAAAATATTGGTACTAGTAGAAATCTAGTTTAAGATATCAATTACTAATTATATGACCAGCTAAACTGGAATTCTAGATAGGGTTAGGGTTAAATAGCACTAAGCCATTATTCCTGGTCAGAATTGTAATTATAAGAAATGACCTCTTCAGAATATTTTTGAACAGCAACAAATTGTACAGTAGTACAAAAAAAATTTTTTGTCTACAGCTATCAACATCTACAACAACTTGATGGGAAAAAAAGCAAAACAAAACCCTTATGAGTTTCTGCAACATTTATTTTTTCCCTCTTTTTTTATTTGAATTGAAATGACCTCAACTGGTTCAAGTTATCTGGTATTACATTTTTACTAGTCAGAACACCATTTCAGATGTCTACAAATATTTACAAATTTTAAGTGGCTGTTTAACATACATAACATTTTGCTTGAATGTATATGTATTTCAGATATCTTTTATAGAATCCCCCCTATCTAAAATGAGCATTGCAGATCTCCAAAACTTATTTTACTCCTGTCTAAAGTATACATTCTTGATGTCTAAAAATGATTTCCGATCTCCATAATCCCATTATTACTGGTCATAATTTTTATTTCAGATATAGATAATCAATCGGAGACTCAATATATAAAAAACCTCAGTTTTATTGTTTTTTGTAAGATTTTGGTTTCATTTCACCTTATAAATACATTTTGGCTTTAATTAAAAGTGTTTAACTCTGACTTTTTCAGAGATTTGTATAATTTTAAATTAATTGTAGATACAGTCGAAACCTTTGAAATCCCTGGACCCCATGAAATCTGTTATAAACCATTCGAATTTTAAAAACCATGGGAACAGCTAGAGAAGAGACACTAAAGACATCTCAACATCACAGGAAATTCTTAAAACTTGCTGAAAATAATTAGAAACCACTTGAAATGCTGAAAATCCATGAAAATGCTAGTAAGCACTAGTGAAATTTCATTAGTTCAAAATACTTGGAAACATTAGAACCCAGTGACATTTCTTTCCCTTATGAGGAAAATCACCCCACAGCAGGATGCTGCAGCCAACATTTTTTCACATAAATTCTGTGTTTACGATAAAATAGATATTTCCCCTCACATTTTACATATAGGCCTAAAACTTCAAACTTTATTTGGCCAAAATTCTTGCTTCAATATATCTCTTTTGTCCCATAAAAGTAAGTTTCTTGCATAATGGAGGGAAAAAAAATCAATGGGACAACTTTTTCTGAGGTACTGGATACATCTATGGTTTTGTCGTGATTTTTATTGAAATCACCACCTAAAAGTAAGTCTGCACGATGTCAAAGTAACTCCAACCTTCTTTCAAACTGGGTCATGCACCATAGTCTGTGAGGATACTGACTCACTGCCTCATTTCAGTGATGAATGGAGGAACAAGACAGGTTCTGGAATAGTAAAAAAGGCCCTGGATGGACTATGCTCCTGTATGTGGTACATCGGTTCCCATAACTTATTCATGTAGCCCAAGTCATCTCAGGATCATTACTCTCTATAGGATTTATGACACCTCACATCTGTAATTTAAGTTCATGCATTATGCCTTGGGTGAAGACATGATTTTTGTCATCATAGTCAGTTTTTGTGACTACGCAATGGTACCTGGAACGTTTGTGTTTTATAAATGGAAGACTGTTTAAGCTTTAGTCTCTACTAAAATAACTGTTTTAAACTCTTTAACAATTCACTTCATATCAGCGCAACATATTCTAAAACTTTAGCAATAGCTGTCAGACACATTTATAGCTTATTTTTCCACTCTGATTAGGAGCATTTGAGATTACTTCTGAAGATTTGCATCCCTTCCTGCTTCCCAGGCTGTGATAAATAGATGGTTTGCCTCACTGAACTCATCAGGCATAAAAGTGTTCTGGCAGATCACCTTAACGTGTGAAACAGCTTTTAAGAAAGAGAGTGAGAAGTGGTCCCAAAGTGAAAACAGATTGGTCTGGTCCCCCAAAAAGTGTGACTGTGCTTTGCAATTAATAAAGGCTGCCAGCTGAAGGGGTGCTGACAGATGAGCCAGATATAACACAAATGCCAGACACATTCCCTCTCTTCCAGATGGAAGAGTGCTATGTAACAGATATGCCAAGAGGTGCCATGGCACCAAATATGTTTTTGGATTCAAATCCCTCAAAAGACATACGGGTCTCTGCAGGTACTTGGCCCTTTGAGTTAGCTTAGTCTAAAACTAAAAACAGACAAATACAATAAATGCTCTAGTAAATTGTTGTTAAGAGCCACACTAGGACACATTGGGATACTATTACTAGCAACTATTGGAATGGTTTTGGACCAACAAAATATTCAAATTATTTCAAAATAGACTAAGCTTTTTGGAACTTCAGGTTTAAATACATTAATAGTGTGTATCAGAAATACTAAAATCAAACAGTTTCAGTAACACCTCAGAAAATATGACACTTATTTGCTATCAATTGTCCTACGTTGGCTGTATCAAATTGGCTTAGAGGCTATCGTTGGCAGGTTACTGTCAGCACAGTGTTTAGAAGTAATACATTTTTTGTTCTAAGAGTATCAATGAGATAGCAGATACCCAGTATTAAAAAAGTTTTTGCTCACTTGGCATTCCAATCACTTCAATGATCACAGGTGTACAAAGCTAAACACCTAGGCATGCAAACTGCTGTCACAAACATTTGTGAAATAATGAGTCACTCTCAGGGGTCAGTGAATTCAAACAGGAACTGCAACAAATCTAGTTATGAACTGTCCACTCTCCTAAACATTGAGTGGCCTTCAGATTAGCTCAAGAACAGAGAGCTTCATGGAATGTGTTTCCCTCGTCAAACACCTGCATCCAAGCCATACTTTACTAAGTATAATGCAAAAAGTGGTGTAAAATACACCATCACTGGACTCTAAAGCTGTGGAGATACCTTTTCTTGAGGGACAAATCATACTTCTCTATCTAGAAATCTGATGGCTGAGATTGGGTTTGGCGGTTGCCACAAGAACAGTACTTGTCTGATTGCATTTTTCCAACTATTAAATTTGGTGGAAGGGGAATATGGTGTGGGGTTGTTCATCAGGATCTGGACTTGGCCCTTAGTTCCAATGAAAGGACCTCTGAATGCTTCAGCATTACAAGACGTTTTAGACAACCCAACTTTGTGGTTACAGTTTGGAGCTGGACCCTTCCTCCTTCAATATAACTGTGCACCAGGCACAAAGCATTATCAGACATGGATGGTAGAGTTTAATGTGGTTGAACTTGATTGGCCTGTACAGAGTACTGAGCTGAACCTGATAGAACACTTGTTGGATGAAATAGAGACTGAGAGTCAGGCCTTCTGATCCAACATAAGTGTGTGACATCACAAATGCATCTCTAGAAGAATGGTGAAATGTCTAACAAACTCCTAAACCTTGGGAATGTCCTTCCCAGAAAGATTATATGTGAGTCAAGGCAGGTGAGCAAATACTTTTGGCAATGTAGTATAAATTGAATTAAAGCTGGTTGTGGCTTATTCAATGCTAATACAAATGAGTGTTTTAAAAATTTTTGTAAATTAGTTAAATTTGCACCTTGCATTAATTATGAAGGTACAGGCAGTATTGGAAGTTCAATTGCATTTATTTGAAGGAAAGCTGTAAAATTGTGTTAACTGGTGGATGACTTCTTGACATTGGGATTGTTGTGATAATTGTTTTCTTAATCTATACAACTTAAAAACTACTTCATTGTTTTTAGAATAAGAGTATCAGACGAAGATGAACAGATTCACTTTTTTACCCAGTGTTACTTCACCAGAAAAAAAACCCAACCGCATTAACGGGTGATAGTGATTTAGTTACACACCATACCTCAAAATGTAACCTGCTCTTAGAGTTTTATTTAAAATCACACGCTGCATTTCTACATCTCTCCTCACCATTTTTAAAATAATGCTTCTTTACCCCTAAGAACAAGGAACACATTAACAAGAAAATGCACCACAATTATTGTAACTTAAAAGATTTAGCACAGCAATCTTTTTTTTCTTTTCTACATTAATATAGATTCTCATCCAGATGTTAGATGGCAAAGTGCAATCCTAAAACTTTTCTAAAAGGCATTTTAACTAGTGTTGCGCCGATGCCATTTTTTGGCCCCGATACCGATACCCGATACCTGGCAGTGCAGTATCGGCCGATACCGATACCATAATAATGTAAAATAATTGCCATCATGGCTTTATCAAGCTGCTGCCTACCTTTGTGAAGCAGGAAAAAAATCTAATACAAAGTGAATCCAGTTGAACTTTTCATTGCCTATCAGGAGTGGATGACAATAGTTGAATAAACTTATGGCTCTCAAAATGGTATCGGTGCCCTATTTGTTGGTACTCGCCGATACCGATACCACCATTTTAGGGCAGTATCGGGGCCCCGTCCGATACTGGTATCGGTATCTGTGCAACATTAATTTTAACCTCTCTTATGTATTAAAAACAGGGTAGTATTATTTCTTTGGTTGAATGATTATCGAAAGCCATATAAAACAACAGGACCTACAGTAAATACATATCAAATGACCTTTGCTGTGTTGTCTTATGTCAGTTCACACCTGTAAGTAACTTTTACAACATTTTCTCCTTTTTTGTTTGCACAGCCCTCTTTCCCTGAACCTTGGAAATTATTACCAAACAGAGAATGATGATGAGAACCCCTTCATCTGCTCTATGGAGGGACACAACGGCATGAGGGAGTGCGACTCAGTTCCCAAGCTGTACGAGGCAGGCCAGCAGTGCACGCTAAATATTGACTCCTACAACAGCACAGATAACACCACCTGTGTGAACTGGAACCAGTACTACACCAATTGCTCTGCTGGCGACATAAACCCCTTTAAAAATGCTATCAATTTTGACAACATCTTCTATGCGTGGATAGCCATCTTTCAGGTATGGTAGCTGCTAAAAGCTGAGAATCATAAATTAAGAGCTTGACTTAGATAAGGAGTTTTTCTTTTTTAATTGCATGTTCTGCAGTAGTAAGCTTGGTTTTGCTGATAACAAGATCTGTATACAAAGCCTAATTGCTCAGTGGTTGGTGCATCAGAGTGTTGCATACTTAGCATTCTATTACCACACAAGACAGAAAAAATAATTATTTTCTATCCTATATCTTAAAGGCCTTTTGTTGGACTTGTAATCTGTTTAATAAACCTGGCGCCACCAGGTTTATTTAAGAGGACAAAAGCCAGATCTAAGATCACAGCAAAAGTCTGTGTTTTGTGTCAAACAGCGAAGTCCGACAAGCTTTGCACAAATGAGCATTAATTGTTAGTATTTGAATATGTACAGGTACAAAGCTGAATGTGTTGACAGCAAAATCTCACCAAAATCATCAAATGCACTAATCATGGAGGCTTAGATTTGCAGTCACACAGAAAAACACAAAAAAGTGGAATAACACACTTCAGGCCTTTCCAACTTTGATGTAATGTTCTTAAAATGTGTCCAAATAAGGCTCAGTATTGTGTGTGGCCTCCACTTGCCTGTATGACCTCCCTACAACACCTGGGCATGCTCCTCATGAGGTGGTTGATGGTCTCCAGCGAGCTGTCCTCCCAGACCTGGACTAAAGCATCCGCCAACTCCTGCATAGTGCAATGTGATGTTGGTAGATGGATCGAGACATGATGATATCCTAAATCAGATTCAGATCTGGGGAACAGGTGGGACAGTCCATAGCTTCAATGCATTCATCTTGCAAGAACTGCTGGCAGATTCTAGCCACATGAGGTCTAGCCTTATCCTGCATTAGGAGGAAACCAGGGCCTACCGCACTAGCATATGGTCACACAAGTGATCACAGGATCTCATGCCAGTATCTAATGGCAGTCATGCTATCTCTGACCAGCACATGGAGGGTTGCACAGACCTCCAAAGAATTACCACCAAACACATTACCGACCAACAGCCAAACGGGTCATGCTGAATGATGTCGGTGTCTACAGATTCTGTCATGTCTTTAACATGTGCACAGTGCAGTGTGAACCTGATCTCATCTGTGAAAGGCACAGGGCACCAGTGGCGAATTTCCAATCCTCGTGTTCTCTGGCAAATGCCAAGCATGGTGTGCATGGTGTTTGGTCTTTGAGCACAACCCCCATCTGTGGATATCGGGCCCTCATGCCATCCTCATGGAGTTGGTTGCTAACTGATTGTACTGACACATGCAAATTTTTAGCCTGCTGGAGGTCATTTTGCAGGGCTTTGGCAGTGCTCCCCCTGTTACCCTTGCACAAAGATGGAGGTAGCAAGCCTTTTGCTGACAGACACAGCAAACCCTCTTGCCATAGTTCGCATGTACCATCCTGGGTGAGCTGCACTACCTGAGACACATGTGAGGAATGGAGAGTTCCCCTCATGCTACCTTGAGTTTGAAAGCATCACTGACATTCAAAAGTGACCAAAATATCAGCCAGAAAGCATTCTGAGAAGTAGTCTGTGGTCCCCACCTGCAACCACTCCTTTATTGAGTGTGTCTTGTTAGTTTCCAATCATTTTCACCTGCACAACAGCATGTGAAATTGATTGTGAATCAGTTTTGCTTCCTAAAAGGAGAGTTTGATTTCATCAGAAATTTGATTTGAATAAAGTCGTATTGCATTTTTTTCTTGTTCGCTTTATTTTTTGAGCTGTCTATTTGTTCATGTCCTCTTAAGTTTTGTCCAAACTCTGATTGTTTTTTTTTTACTATTTTTTGCCTTGTTAGGTGATCACTTTGGAGGGTTGGGTGGACATCATGTACTTTGTCATGGATGCCCACTCTTTCTACAACTTCATCTACTTTATCCTACTTATTATTGTAAGTGCTCTTTCAACATTGCTCAAAACTTCACCTACTGTACAGTCTCATAATTCACAATACTTGCAGATTTTAGGTAGATTTGTTTGTTTGTAACAGTTTGGAGCACTGTTGCCTTGCAGCAAGAAGATTCTGGCTTGGGCTCTTTCTGCATGGAGAACCCATGCATGTTCTGCCTGTGCATGCATGGGTTCTCTGGGGTTACTCTGGCTTCCCCCACCAGTCCAAAAACATGACTGTTAAGTCATGTTTTTGGACTTGTGTCTCTGTTGCCATGTGACAGACTGGTGACCGGTCCAGGGTGTACCCAGCCAGTCAGAGATAGGCACCAGCACCACCGTGACCCTGATGGAATAAACAGGAGAAAACGGATGGATGGATGTTTATTTTTTATACAATGCATGGCACTACACCTATAGTCCTGAAATGCATGCTTCATTGATGAAGCAGGTATTACACAATGGGTAGTTTTACCATTTGAGAAAATAAAGAACTAGAACATTTTGGCAGCCTTTGCTATCATTGAAAAAAACAAAAAACAAAAAAAACATTCACTATATAAAAAAATTCAATGCAGAATATAATTCTGACAGTACTAAAAAACTTATGATTAATAATGACTCTGTGATAGTACTTATTATTTAACTTTGCAGTTAACAGATCATGGGACTGATGGGTGGTTATAACAAACAATGTCAGAATAACAATGTAATTTACCTCTCTCTACTTTCAGATCGGCTCGTTTTTCATGATCAACCTGTGCCTAGTGGTTATCGCAACTCAGTTCTCAGAAACCAAGCAGAGGGAGAGCCAGCTGATGAAAGAGCAACGTGTGCGTCACATGTCTAATGCCAGCACTTTGGCTTCTCAGTCTGAGCCAGGCTCCTGCTATGATGAGCTACTGAAGTACCTGGTTCACGTCATCCAAAAGGGGGCCAGGCAAGTGGCTGGTGTTTGTAGGGTCTTGGCCCGCCATGCAGGATTTAAGATTCCCGCATCACAACCATCTTCAGAGGCACAGCATAACAAGAGGCTGAGAAGTAGAAGAAAACCATCCAGACAAGGATCAGTGTTGGTTCACCATCATCATCATCATCACCACCACAATCACTACCATCTAGGTAATGGTAGCATCTGGGAGGAAGGGAGCATGAGATGTATGGAGGGAAGGGACATTGAAGCCGGGCCTCCCAAAGCAACCACAAACATTATTCCACTGGGTGTGGTAGCACCATCATCTGTGATATCCACAACCTCTGACTCAAATCTCACTGTGTTGGGAGCTGCTGATTCATCCTCAGGCTGCTGTGTGCTCAACACAGAGGCCTCTCCCTGCACTTTGTTTTCCACCAACAATCCAGTAGCCTCCCTAGCTCCAACCGCATCATCCAGAGCCATGAAGAGGAACTCTGTACCATTTGCTGCTCCTGGGCCTAAGAACTACCCAACCCTACAGACCAGGATCCAGGCAGAGTCCAGGCGAGGGAGTGTTGCTGCCAGCATTCGATCAAATCTGAGTTGTAACCTGAATATCTATCCCATACATCTGGACAGACAGCAATCATGCAATCCATCAGGTAAACATACATATAACTAGGAATGCATTTTAAGGCTTTTGATTGACTCTTAAATACCCCATCTCTTGTGTTTTCTGTGTTGGAATTTATTTTAAAAATTGGATGGTTTAAAGGGTATTAAACACTATTGCCAGTTTTACTTTTAAATCAGATAGTCTACTGCCTTGTAGTGCAAGTATGAGCTGCAAAACATCATGTCGTCATATACTCAGATTAAGTTCTGAACAGGTTGAGGTAAGAGTGGTTCAAGTTGCACAGATGGTGATTATATTTAATGACCTCCTGATTGGCTGCAGCATTGTTTGTGAGAGTGAGTTATTAGTCATGCAGTACACAGCTTCCATCTTCATCAAGCTTTCTCAAACACACAATGTCTACAAATGTCATCTTCAAACAGTCACAATTTTATCTCATTTCTCATTTGGTTGCAGCTCAGATCTCCCGCCAGCTGTCAGCTCATGAGCTCATCACCATGGACGCAGCTCGTCTGACCATGGACCCCGAGACCTGTCCTGATTGCGCAAAGGCACTGGCCAATGAGTCTGAGGGCTTTACAGAGGGCAACGAGACACAAGGCGACTCAGACAGTGATGGGGTACACGAGTACGAGGACCTCCGCCACAGGAACAGGAGAGACAGTCGGCAGCCCAGAAAGAAAAGGCGGAGGTTAGGGAAGACAGCAGCAAAGGTCGTCCACTTTTGGAGGCTGGCGTGTGCCACCTTTAAGAAGATTGTGGATAGTGATTACTTTGGTCGAGGGATTATGATTGCCATTCTTATAAACACTCTGAGCATGGGGATCGAGTACCATCAGCAGGTAGAGTCACATTACTTATATCTCCTTCATATCAAGAGTTTCTTTTTGATGGTTGAACAAAGCCTACACAAGGAATACTGAGAATAGGCAGAGGGATAGAATATAATATAACACTTACGAAGGTTATTAGATTTGGGTTCTACCTTTTGTGTTGTATGTCCCATATGCAAAGTAATTTTTAATCTATACAACTTAAAATAAGTCTTCACTCACTAATGCTTATTTACATAAGCCTAATTACAGCCCTTTAAGAGAGAAATTTGAAAGAGAAAAGAATATTGAGCAAATAGTCTGAAATTACTTTTGTTGCTCTATTTTCTTTTTATAATTCTCTCTACTATATTCTCTCTTCTTAAGTTAAAGTTATAAAGAAATGTATCACCCAAAATAATTTTTAGATAAGGGTTGTGATGTGCTAATATGAGGTCTAAATGTGCCTTGTATGAGCAGATGGGCTGAAACTCAAAACTATGTGAGATAAGCTCTAAAGCGTTCATGTATTTAAGAGTCTAAACTATCCGTTCTTCTTTCTTGTTCTGAATGTCAAGCAAAGCTACTATTAGCTTTCTTTGAACAATAACAAGAAATATGGCCCATAAAACAGCAATAATTTGCTTACAATACTTTTGGCAGTCTTCACTTGTTAGCATCTGTAAAAGACATAGCATATGTAGGTACAAAGCTTCTAAAGGTGTGGGTGAGCCCCCTAAATTAATGCTTTTATTAGTTTTCCAACTATGAAGCCAAAAGGACTGATTTTTCCCCCGATATGTCTGTGCCATAATGTAAATGCTGTTCAGTTTAGATACAAGAAGCTGTCGAAAAATGAAACAATATTCAGATTAAATATTTCTCCTTCAAAGGAGCAGTAAGATTACCTTGCAATTTTTTCTTCTGTTTGTTTCTTTTGGTGTAATTCTGAAGAATCTTATTTTATTCAACTTGGAGCTTCGATTTTGAAATTACTCTTTATGGTAAATTTTTGACCTACAATATAAATTTTGGCACATTTTAATATCTATGTAATTTAGTTTACTTACATTTTTTATACTTTTTAAAATCAAAAGGCAAAGTTTGTGATGTTGTAGCCGATAGTATTCAATATTCTCCTGTGGTGGATATTGTATAACAGTCTGATGAAGAGGTTGCTTAGACCAGGGTTCTTTTACCCTTGGTCCTAAGGGCCCAATGTCCTACATGTTTAGGAGGTAATTAACAGACTTTTACAGCAACTGCCAGTGAAGGTTGTCAGTCATCCAGGTCATAGTCATTCCGAAAAAAACAAATGAAAAAGAATTCAATGGACTTTGTTTCCAAGTTTAAAGATGTTTCGCTTCCCATCCAGGAAGCTTTTTCGATTCAAAATATCAGGAATAGCATTGAGTTCGAGGTTTTATACAGTAGCAACAACAAGGCCTTGTTTTTGTTTTGAAAACCTGCAAATTGGAACAGACGAAGGGGCCCATCCCTTTGAAATAGGGGTAATTTTGGCTTCTTTTGTTCGCCTGCACGGCCAAAAATCACCTTTAACGAACCACCTTTCAGACACTCAGATGGGTATGGGGCATTACAGGCAAACAAAAGAAGCCAAATGACCCCCCATTCCAAAGGGATGGACCCCTTCGTCTGTTCCAATTTGCAGGTTTTCAAAACAAAAACAAGGCCTTGTT